TCAGGAACAAGACAAGGATACCTGCTTTTTGAATATTCTTCACTGTACTGGAAGTTCTAGCCAGAGCATTAGACAAGAAAAAGAGAGAAACAATATTCAAATTAAAAAGGAAGAAGCAAAACTATCTATATTCACAGATACCTTACCCTATATATAGGAAACCAAAAATCCACAATAAAAAACAACTAAGGCTAATAACAAATTCCACAAGTTGCTGCGTAGAAGATCAACATACAAACCCCAGCTAAACTAATACACGCTAGAAACAAACAAAATTTTTATTTATTTTATTACTTTGTGTGTGTGTGTGTGTGTGTGTGTGTGTGTGTGTGTGTATGTGTGTGTGTGGTGTCCTGGGGATCAAACCCAGAGTTTTATGCATGCTAGACAAGCACTCTATCACTATATCCATTATATCCCCAGCCCCAAAAAGAAAAATGGAATTTTTAAAATTCCTTTTGCAATAGCATTCAAAAAATAAAATGCCTAGGAATAAATTTAATCCAGGAGGTAAAACTTAAATACATTGAAAACCACAAAAATTGCTGAAGAAAATTATAAAGAAGATATAAACAAGTTAAAAGACATCTTGTGTTCATAGATAAGACTTAACATTGTTGAGAGAGAGCAATACTCCCAAAACTTATAGATTTAATATAATTTCTATGAAAATTCCAACTGCCTTTTTTTATACAAACAAAAAAAGTAATTCTCAAATTTATATGAAATGTCAAGGAGACCTAAATAGTTAGAATAATACTGAAAAAAAACTCAAAGGGGTTCATAAATTTAAAAATGCTAGAAGTCAATGCATTTGAAGGCAAGATGATCACACCACGATCATCCACTAAAAATGTAGCTCTTACTTTTGCTGGACTTATGCCAAATTGGGCAATAACTTAAAGTCAACTAGAAAATACTTTCACAATACCTTCTGAGTTAACAAACACTGTAAATAATCCAAATAAACCTCAAAGTTGTGATTTTTCATTTCTGAAATTCAACAATACAATATCATATGACTTTCTTCCCTTTATCAAACCAAGACTGATAACCTTTCTCAGGTCCATCCATTCTAAAGCAAACAAGACTATTCTGTTCATTTCCAAATATTTGAGTAATTCTTTTTCAAAAGAATAAATCAAAGGTCTCAGCTATGTTATACAGCACTTAACTATATATTATTATGAGTACACAGAGACTAGCCACATTTAAAGGGACTAAACATGTTCTAGAAACAACCCTGCAAAGTATAGCTCAATTTGGAACTAGTTTAAGTGACTCAAAAGAAATATGGAAGTAGACATGAGTTTGTGGTTTCACCCAGGAAGACTAAGCAAGACCCAATAAGAAACACAGAATGATACAGTGTTCCTGAACACACAAGGTCAGTTTTTGAAAAATGTATGGATAGCCCTAAGAACCTAGCACACATCTATCTAGGAATAGGGCAATTATGAAAAATGGCTTGGTGTTGCTTATTAAACCATTTAACAGAATAAGAATGGCAGAAAAATAGTTTGCACCTGTAAGCTGAGTATTCAAAAATATCAATAAAATTTTCAAAGAAAAATTAAGCATCAATGATATCTAGGAGGTCTTTTCATTATAAATTTCATCACAACATATGTAAGAGATTTCAATGTAAACAAAGAGAAGAGGACAGGAGGATAAAGAACAAATAAGGAGGACAATGAAGATGAAGAAAAGGATTAGAAGATCTTGGCATTTTTACCAAATTTTAAAAAAGTAACACAGATAGCTAAAGCAGCACATCTACCAAATATTTTCAATGAGATAAATACTACACAATCATGGATCTTACTAACATACTATTGAACTGACAAAAAATCTCATTTTGAAGATTCACCACTCAGTAATATTTTATATTTTCACAAGAAAAAACATTTTATATTCCCTATCACAGAGTCTGATACATGTGAGTAATAAATGCTTACTAAATGATCAACCTGGTGGTAGCTGGGTGAATAAACAATGGATGATGGGAAAGAATGAATATTAGGCTTTCATTTCTATGGCAAATTACCTAACGTGAACAACTTAAAAGGAGGAAAAGTTTATTTAGGCCCACAGTTTCAGAGGTTCAGCCTAAGGTCAAATAACTCCACTACTCTGGGCTCAAGGTGAGACATAACACCATGACAGAGAAGTACTCAAGGCAACCAGGAAGCAGAGACGGAAAGGGGAAGGGTCTGCAGGGAAGGTGAGCCCTTCCAGGAATGCCTCCAGTGACCTACTCCCTCCATCATGCCCAGCCTTCCTACAGTTACCACCAGTTTAGTCCACTCAAACTAGGAAGGACTGATTAGGTTATAGCTCTCATATTCTAATTGTTTTTCCTCTAAATATGACTGCATTAACACAGGAAGTTTTGGGGGACACCTCCTACCTAAACCATAACTATATTCAAAACAGAGCATATTTGATACTGGAGAATTGCTGCTTCTCCATTTGAAAAAACTTATCTAATTAGGGGGTAATGTGTGAGAAGTAGCACAATATAGTGGAAAGAAGACATTTAGATTTAGAAAACCTAGATTAAAGCTCTGGCTCAACTCTAACTGGCTGTGTCCCTGAGCAAATTGCTTCATTTATACAAGTCTTAGTTCCTTCACCTGTAAAATGGGGATTACAATAACTACCTTACAAACAAGCAATTTTGGCATCTGGAACAAACTATACCAAACCAGCTCTCAAATCAATTCTGTAATTCATAATGTAGCCCACAGATGGGTATTACTAACAATGCTCACCATCTGGTAGCTTCCTGTTTTAAATAATTATTCTTGCTAAATAGGTGCCAAGCTTTTAGAATCATTATATTAAATGTCTGCACCCTCTAAATTTTGGTACCTTTAGAAAAGCACAAGTATGACCAGACATGGTTCAGCTTAGGGAGTTGACCTGAAGATTAAAAATAACATAAGAAAAACACCTTTTTACTGTGACAGGCATGTAATAGATGAGTTGTTACTTAAACATTCATTAACACCTTTATGCAGTTCATTTGCCACTGTACATTATCACAACTATTCCAGGAAGCCCACCATGAGAATACAGATTAACCATATCAGCATCTTGTAGTAATGTATAACAAGATGGATATGAAAGGATGGTATGTACTTTAGTATTCTCTCCAAAGATTCAATTGACTCCTTCTACCTTGACTTTTAGATTTTCTCTCTTAAGTCCATAAAGACCTGCGAGTCCATGGTGCCATTTCTAGATTAAGGAATAAGAGAAGTGTCAGGTTCAAAAAGAGAATCTGAAGTTACCACTATGCAGGCGTGCTTCTTTGCTGGATGGGCAAAGAGAACCACTGCTATTGGGCTTTGCATCTAGTCTCAGCTGCACAAACTCCAATTAAAGAAGAAAAACATCAAGCCACCTTTATCAGATCTACTAACAATCCAGATAAACTCCTTTAGGATGAATGGTTTAGTAGTGAAGTAACAAAATTTTCCAGCTCCCAAAATCTCTGTGTAAAGTGTTTTTAAATAGCTCTGAAAGATTATTTTCTCTGGATTATCAGATATCCAGATAACTTTTGCGTTCTATCTGCTTTTATTATAAACATGCTAATCCAAACCAAGATCAAAGGAATAACTGTTATAAAAAGAGTTAAATTAAAATTATCTATTGGTTTTACTGATTCTAATGATGTTTCAGTAACCCTGGAACAAACTTTCCCCGAGGAAACATCTTTTCTGAGCATAAATGTCAAATCAAGTTCACAAGCTAGAGCCCCCAATTTTCCCACAAATTAAAGGATAATGTCCATGTCTGTTAGGTGGTAGACTTTTAAACAGAATACACAGACTGGAGTTAAATGTACAGCCATCAGGATTGAAACAGAGGTTCTTTTATATATGGGTTAAAATATTAGAATTCTTAAGATGGCAGCTTAGTAAAAACATAGAAAGTAAGTAAATAAGAAATGAATAATACTATCATATTATAAATAAACAAAAAAAAGGACTAAAAGCAGTTAGTCAATTATTTAAACTTTTGGGATTCAACAGCACATTAACAATAAAACCCAATCCAGAACAGGACTGGATACTATGGTTTCAGACAGACATGTTAAACAGGAGAAATACATTTAAATAGTTAAAATTCCTTAAGACAAAGGTCTARTAGGATTAGTGTCAAGTCCCAATGGAGAAATAATTAACCACCATAACCAGCAAAGTAACTAAGTGAAATATTTTTTGTTATTGGTTGATATGTATTTAAAATTCTCATTTTGAAGCAACGATTTTTATTTTTCTGGTGCCATCAAGTGGTAACATTATGAAGTGTTCAAGATTAAATGCAGATAACTTTTAGACAAAAAGATGGCACTCTGATGTGTTCTATCTATGTCAATTAAATACCAAGGATGTTTTAGCACATAGCACCGGAACATCAGAGCAGATTTTTTGTAATTAATTCCCTCTTTAAACTCCCAAAGAACAGCAGGGTAGACAAATCCAAGAACCTTTTACGCTCTTGGTTTAAAAGCCTATTTTATTTTATCTTTTCATTGAGAGTAAAAGCACTAGAGAATCTCTGTGAATACTTCTGAGGAACAATGCAGTCAAGTAAGAAAAAAAAATTCTTATTCGTACAAGAGACTTGGAGATGTGTTGACTTCATAAAAAAAAAAAAAAAAAAAGATCCCATTTTGGGGGCTAGCGATATAGCTCAATTGGTAGAGTGCTTGCCTCGAATACACAAAGCCCTGGGTTCAATCCCCAGCACCACAAAAAAAAAAAAAAAAAAAAAAAAAAAAAAAAAAAAAAACCTCATTTTTGTAGATTAACTGATCAAAGTATAGAGTTAAGTACCTCTGATAATCTCACTTGAAGTTCAGTAATTTCTCATTTTCATTCTTGTTCCTATATAAGATTATACAGAAGATATAGTTATATGTACATTTTCCCCCACATACCAACATAAGAACATGCCAAAACATATTAATGTAGATAAAATTGTACCTTGAACACCTTCTAGGAGTAAATCAACTCCCTTCCTATAAAAATCAGAAGCAGCTTCATAGTCGTCTTCCTCTTCCTTTTTTAAAGCCAGCTTTATTAATTCTCCTGCTTTCTCCAAATAATCTCTCTTGCCAAGCTTAGATTTTAAACTGCCAGGAAAGAGGCTACGACTTTCCCGTTCTTCTTCTGTTTTGTTCTGTTCACTGTCAGAAGCAACAGCCCCTAATGCTGAAGAATCCGAAGAAAGATTGAGACCAAAAGTTCTACTGGGAGAATTTTGATTGGAAGCCATTCCATCATCTAACTCGGCAAGAGAATCCACATCAACAGTAAGAGATATCAGATCACTGTCACTGGAGAAGCCTAGAAATATGATCACAATAGTAAACATATTAAATTGAGCATCAGCCAAAAGAATACAAATCACTCTAGCTGTTCATTTTTTCATACAATCCAAATCAATTAGGAAGGCTGTAATTTACCGATGGAAGTCAGTGTCTAGCAATTTATTTGAGCGTAGTTCATTCACTTTTATACCATCTCTTTATAACCCTGGAAAACAATTTGCTTACCTTAATCACCAAACTAAAACTGAAGACAAGCCTTGATCTAGCCTTGTTATCAAAACCAAGATCTTGAAAACTGTTGTTTGCACACATAGCTGCTGTAAACAACAGCATTATCATAAGGCACAAAGGGTAAGAGTTTTGGAGTCATACCAAAAAAGTACTTCAATACCAGTTCTTAAAATGTACTGTGTGACTAAGAGGAAGTTCCTTAAATTTTACTTATTGGGCAAATTTCTAAATGAGAAACTGTTAATGCATATGAGCCATAATAGACTATCATGAAATTATAACCACCATGACAATTAAATAAAAATTATATAATGATTAAATAATGCATCTTTAGGTATGCCTTCAGGTACCATGCACATCTGGAAAATGTACGCTATTAAGATTTTTAAAAGAATTGAAATTTGGGCTGGGGTTGTGCCTTAGCAGTAGAGCGCTTGCCTAGCACGTGTGAGGCCCTGGGTTCAATCCTCAGCACCACATAAAAATAAATAAATAAAACAAAGGTATTGTGTTCAACTACAACTAAAAAAAATATAATTTTTTATATTTATTTAATTGTAAATTAACAGTATCTTTATTTATTTTGATGTGGTGCTGAGGATTGAACCCAGTAACTCACACATGCGAGGCAAGCACTTTACCACTGAGCTACAGCCTCAGCCCCCTAAAAAATAAATATTAAAAAAAAAAAGAATTAAAATTTTAGACAATTTTGTTTTGGTCTGTTTTAGAAACAAAGCTGGACTATATTTGTACCTTAGTTTTCAGACCAAAAAATAAAAAATGAATAATAAATTCTACTGAACTATTTAATATTTAAAAGCAAAAATTTCTTCTCCCATTTAATTAATTTCATAGTAAATTAAGCATGTTCTACAAGAACAGTCAGCAAACCTTCTGGCTTTGGAACTTCCTTTCACATTCTTAAAAATGGTGATTCCAAAAAGCTTTTGGGTAATGTGAATTATATCTCTAAATACTTACTAACATTGTATTGATACTAAGAAAGACTGAGAAATACTTTTAAATAAAACATTAAAGACCACTGATAAATTCTATGAAAAATAACCTCTATGTGACAAAACAAAAATATCTATTGAGAGAAGATTTTGGAAAATCTTATTAATGTCCAGCTTAAGAGAAGATGAATAGATTCTCATATCTGATTCTACATACCATCTATTGTCATATTTTTTTTTTGGTCAAAAGATATGAAGAAAATGTCACATAGATATACCATTGAAAAAGAAACAAGTGTTTTCATACTCTTTTCAGATTACTGTGTATATTGTACTTTAATAAGACATCAAAACTCCACAAGCAATAGTTTCTTAAATCTAGCTGTACTGTGAAATATAAGATTCTATGAATGAAATGTCCATTTTTATTACATTCAAATCCATTCGACTATCTTGTATACTGAATGAATCTTTTACCCATGCTTAAGTTTGTGACAACAAATTGAAAATACTGGTTTACTGCGTTACACAGATCTTCCAAATGTTTTCCCCACCTTTCATTATTACAACATCCAAAATAATCATAATTGTTAATACCATCACCAATCTCATCAGAAAATCCTTTAAGTATATGGAAGTTGTCAAACTCAAAAGCAGCAAACAGAAATGATCCAAAACTCTTACTTTGGGGTTGAAAATTCTAATTTTATCACTGGCAGTAAACACTATCAATTGTTTTCCTTGAAGTGTCAGCTTACTTCAATCACTTTCAAGAAAAACTTTGCCAAGTATACAAGTTTGAATAACAATAGTTTATCAATTGTTGTTTCAAGCAAAATGGTGTCCCATTAAAAAATAAATAAATAAACAAGTGGTTTGGCTCATAACTTCAAAAACTACACAAATGATTTTCCTCACTACATACTGATAGTTCAGTATGCAAAGGGCTTTATATGTATCTTTTTTTTATTTTGTCACGCAGAATATTCAAGAAGACATGTACCCAAAGGCTGATATTTAATAAAATTAACAGTTTTCACTGCTTTATCAAAAACATTCTTAAGAAAAATCAGCATTGGTTTTACTACAAGTATATCCAATGTTTACTGCTGAGTCAGGCATCACTGTCCTGATTCATGCCTAGACATAGCAGTTTCACCCCCACTGCTTTTGCATAATCAGTTCAAATGTCAACACAGTGGAAAGGCAAAGAATGTCCTAATACTATTATCTCTTCTATATTTTTGCCTGTGGAGCCCCTGAAAAGACCTTAAGAATACCCAGAGGTCTGAAGACCACATTTTGAGAGCCTCAGATCTACAGCATTATATAGGAGTCACAATTGTGTTTTATAAAAAAAAAAAAAAAAAAAAAAAAGAATTTAGGAACGCCTATGAGACCTGCATCACAATTGAATATTAACTGCTAAGTTTCTCTGAAAAGAAAATATATTTTAAAAAATTATTTCCTTAGGGTTAAATGCTAAATCAAAACTAAAGATGGAAATCCAAAATTGAAGTCTCTGCACTTTTCCTCCTAATATTCCAAATAAACCACTCTGTAAATTGGGAATTCTCTATATCCAGAGACTAGGATAGGTATTCTCATGTAAGCAATATATTAAGGATCTTCCATAAAAAAAAAACTATAAATGCATAAAAAAAACTGAAGGTGGATTAGACTTTACAAATGTAAGATCAGAGATCAGTAAACTTTTTTTCTATAAAGGGTCTAAGAGAAAATATTTTAGGCTTTTCCAACCGTATGATCTCTGTTGTAGCTATTCAACTTTGCTGTTGAAGCACAAAAGCAGCCATCATCTACATATAAATGAATAAGCATGGCTTTATTCCAATAAAACTTTATTTATGGATACTGAAATTTAATTCCATATAATTTTACATCACAAAATAATATGTTCAGGTGTTTATTCAACCAAAAATGTAAAAAAAACATTCATAGCTCATAGGCCATAGGAAAATATGGACCATTGTTTGCCAACCTCTATTATAAACTCAAATTGCTTACTTAACATCAAATAAAGTAAGTTAGAATAAAAACATATAACTGGCAGCTAAGCTAAATTTTCAAATCAGTTTTAGACACTACTTTGGCACCCTGACAATATATCCTTGTTTTCTTTTTTTTTTCCAAAAAACCTTAGAATTCGCACTAAGTATTAATTCTGTTCCCCAAAAGCAACAGATTCCATTAAGCCCACAATCTCAACTGGAATTCATTGGACCTAGTGAAAATCATTTCAGTTCCCTGACATTTCAGTTATACAGGCAGTACTCCATAACCAAAATCTTTTATAGCAATCTTAAAAGTTATTCATATTACTAGGCTTTTTAATGTTTTATGTATTTCAATGCAAATTTATTTCCTTTAATGATACCAAGTGGACTAGATAATCTACTAATACAAATTTAGTTGAAAACAAATGTTCTGGTTTATACAACTAATCACAAAAGGAAGGAAATGCTGTGTTACAGATCTTTTGTCTGTTCTCTGATGTCTTGTCACTATAACCTTCATACCATCTATCACATTGTTTTATTTCATGCTTTGCTGCATTTTCCTTTCTAACAAGAACAATAATACCAAAGGGCAAGGGGGTAAAGTTATGTGTACTCAGTTTCTCGGCTTTTGACCACAAAAATCTAAGAACATAGAAATACTTCCTGTTATCTTTGCAACCTTATTTTATTAGCAAAGGGAATCATAATTAAATGAAATTAGATCAGAAAAGTAAAACATTTAGGGAGAAAGTCAGATAGCAAAACTAAGTAAATAAATATTATACATAAAATATTTACTTCTCAAATTCTTCCTAGTTTTAAATGAAGAATCTTTAAAAGCAAGCAAACATCAACAAAAATACTAACAGGTTATGAAAAGGTGTTTTGTTTTGTTTTTCCTTTTCCTTTTCTTTTTTTTTTTTAAGCCAAATTGGGGAAAACAAAGAGAAACAAAAATTTTGATTTCTGGTTTAACCTTTCTGGGAGACAATTTAACAAAGCATATCAAAGACACAAGAACTGCTTATATTTTTCATCAAAGAAATTTGGCAATTTATGCCAAAATCAATCAGAGATATGCAAAAAGATCCATGTATAAAAATGTTCCTCATAAAAAGTAGTGAAAAATTGGAGATAACAAATTCCTAACAATATATTATGACACCTCCCTATGATTAACTATTATACAGCTTTAAAATCATGTTGTAGAAGACTTTCAATGTTAATGCTTTCATGATATATAAAAACAAATGGCAAAATAGTATGGATACTATAATTCTAACTGGAAAACAAAGACTAAAAAACAGTCTAGGAAGATACACTAAGTATTAATAGTAATTTTTCTCTGTATGGTAAGATTACAGGGGATTCTATAATACAGAATTTCACACAATTCTTTGTGTGCAAAGTCCATAAGCTTGGTATCTGAAAAATATCAAAAAAAGATTCTGCAAGAGTTAAAAAGTGGGAATTTGGTAATAAAGCTATATGAACATTATTTATAAAATATGGGTCCTCCAACAACCAGTGGTAAGGAATTCCAAACTTTAAAAAGAAGGCAGATGTGATTACAAAGACAGGTGGGTTTACTCCTGACATTGCTCCTCCTTGCCTACCTTATTCCTTTACTTCTCCTGTTAAGCGGCACCTGACCAAGTTTGAAAAGCATAACCCTACCACATCTCCTTGATCACTCACTGCCACTATTCATCTTGCACTACTTGTGGACATCTCTCTTTTCCATATTTGAGCAATTCCTAAATTCCATTCTTACCAATGAAATATTCCCCAACCTGCTCACAGAG